AGTATATCCAAGAAATACGGTTGCTCGTTATAAAGCTAGATTTCTGCGAAATTTTATGTTCGTGCCATCCTAGTCTTAATCTGCCGAGCCACTAAAGTTTTCCCACTTCTGATCGATAGAAACTTCCTTGGCTGTATCTGCAGACAGTGCTCGCACGGCAAAAGTTTCATCACGAATTCCACCGATGCGATGTCGAGAAGTATTGGAAATGATGCGTAAACGATCGCAGCTTCTCTTAGTGATAAATTCCTGCTCCTAAGTACTGTTTCTTTGTTTTATGTCGAGGAACAGATTGCTTTAGCTGACAGAGCTGAGATTTTAGATTTCGGTTGATTTTTAACTTGATTCCTGTCTCTTCCACGTGAAACCTAAATGCCGATCGGCGTGGGTTGGTGAAGTAAGGCTGAAAATCGACCTAAATGTGGAACTAAATCCCAGTTCTGCTTTAGCACAGACAAAATGACGTCAACGTATCAATATGTCGCCATATATTTAATTCAACGTGATTAATTTTATTTATTTTATGACTTGCAAAACAGATTTGCTAACACTTAGTAACAATGTTATCAAAAACTACTTGCGACTATAAAACTGTGGAATATAAAACTTTTGTGTAATATAGCTATCACAGTATGTGAAAGTTTCAAATTTTTCACGATTCAAACTTCTATTCTAATCTTTTATCAATTTTATCTGATTCGAAGTTAAATGACATTTATAGGCAATAAAGGAAGCTTTATCGAATTGTGGAATAATATCTATGCATGTTTCTTGTTTAGATAAGTATTATTTTTTTAACAATATAATTTACATTTTAATATTACAATATATTAATATAATAAAATTATAAAATATGTTAATGTTTTTTTTACATAATCTCTCGTTGATTTTTATTCTATATATCTTTATTTTTCGTATATGTATATCTTTATTTTATTTCGTTCTATATATTTTTATGTAATCATTATATAATGTATTTATAATTGACTATCATTAAAATAATTAGTTTAAAAACTAGGAATAAAGCAAAATAATAAATATTGCACTTAATCATAGCTTCTTAAACAAAACATTGATATGTGATTATTGAGCTTTTTAATGCCATCTGCTCTTATATTCTTATAAGTGAATATGTCTGATTGTTATCACATTATATGTACACATCGTACGTACACATATATGATTACATATATATAGATATATAAGTAATACATTTCTTTACCATATGGTAAGAAAAGTTTAGCACGTTCGGCAAATCAACATCCATCAATTTCATAACTTCATTAAAGGTATACTTGGTTAGAGAAAAGTTTAACTAATAATAAATTTCTTAATAATTGGAAAAGTAACAGAAAAATTATATTATACTAGGCAAAAGTTTAACTAATAAGTTTCTTAATAATCGGAAAAGTAACAGAAAAATTATATTGTATTAAGCAAGTTTGATCTGATACATTTTTAGAGTAATGCAATATACGCATTTTGAGATAAATGATATACATTTTGAAGATTGAAAATATGGATGCTAATAAAATTTATGGATTCTAATAAGTCACAATTCTCCTATAATTATATTAATTTAAGCTTTAAATTTGTATAAAAACACAATTAAAGAAATTTCATATTATATTTTCGATTATAAATACAATATACATGCGTATATGAAGGATAAAAATTTTCTATGACTAAATAAACATGAATAACGTAATTATAATAACTATTCAATAACTGTAGGTTTATTATTGGCGAAATATGTTTACTATTTTTGCATTTCAATGTGTTTCAAATTGTTAAATATGAAAAAAATGATAAAATTACTATTACGTAGCAATCCTTTTACAGCGAAATTACATTTCTTTATGGAAATTTCTTCTATTATACATATTTATAAGTGCAACTCCATACACAATATGTAGTTAACCAGCTGTATAAGCCTCTTTACACTAAATTACTTTACAGCGTTTTCACTATTACATTAGATCTTTGCATCTAATTAGTTCTTCCTTAATTGAGGTAGCATTTATTACAAAGTATTCATATACATATAGGTATATGTATATAGGTATTATATATATAAATACGCATATATTTTATTTATATTTGTATGGTATAAATAGTATAGAAAACAATAATATTATATATATATGTAAATGGTAAAATACTAATAAATACTTATAATAATACAATTTTAAAGAGAGAGAAAGAAAAAGAGAGAGAGAAAGAGAGAGAGAGAGAGAAAAAATTTTAATTATTCGAAAGCAATTTGTTTTAATAAGGTACGTGCGGGAAAATTTAATATACATTACGTGTTTTTTAAAATAATATGTTTTTATGCGATTATTAATTTATAAAATAACAATGTCAGAAATATCAAAGACTTGTCAATAAAACGCGAGTTTGTTTATACAATATATTCTATATGGGATCTTATATTCATCATATCTAAGATTTTAGAAACTTTGTAAATTAATTACCGTTTGTTATTATATGAATACATATAGTTATACATAATTTACAATATCCAAATAATATATGAATAATATATAAATAAATTTGTATTTCTGTATATGATGTATGGGTAATACAGTAAATTCTATACAACGATTTTTTAATATACAATAATGTATCATAGCTTCAAATTCTATTACAAATTTAATAGATGCAGAGTTAAAACATTAGATATTTACTTTTAATAATTTTAACATAAAAATTAATATTTATTTGTTAAAGATAACTAAGAATAATTATTGTAAAAGATGAAATTTACATGCTAAAAAGAAAATTGTGTAAAAAATTGAAATATTTTTTGTATCATGAATGTAAAATCATGAATATGCCAAATTTAATCAGATACAGATATAGTGACATGTTTAGTATACGTATGTTTCGTTTGTATGTTAGTACATATAACTATTTACTACACTTTATGTAAAAATACATAAATCCGTGGCTCGTATAAAAAGTTATTGTATATTTATATTGATTCGCTAATAAAAACGAATTATTTGTCTTCAATTATAATAATGCTTATCACGTAGATACGGATCAAAGCCAAATACATGTAACAAAGACAATAGTATAGTTTAAGAAAAAGGAAAAAGAGTAAGATAATCGAAATGCCGACGTGTATTTTACTTTTCATATATTTTACATAAATACATGAAAAAAAAATTTTTCTTTATATATAAATTTATTTTTTTATTTATTTTTATTTTTTTATTTATTAAGTTAAATTCTAAATGCGAAAAAGTATCTTTGTGAAATATCAATCTTTTATGAAATAGAAATTTACAACAATATCTTTATCAATTATTAAAAACGATAATTATTATTTGTAAATTTCTGTTATGATTTTAAAATGATAAAAATTTATCAGTTTTTAACAGAAAAGTGCTACATCTATTTTTATTATACGTTTTGACAATAACATATTAATCAAATATATATATATTTGATTTAGGATAACAAAACGCAATCAGTTGATAGAGTGATACTCACGAAAAAAAAACTTACTTTTTTTTCATCATCAAAAAAACATTAGTATCTTCTACTTATGACTATTTAATTTTTTTTGAATACTCATTTAAATATAATATTATTTAACTCCTTGAATATATATTTAATTTTCTAAAAGAAATTTTACCCAATCAGCTGTCACTCAATTATTTCATTGAACATAGCGAAGATATTTAATGCTATTAACGTAATATGATATGTAGATACTTTAAGAAACTATCTGTATTAAATAGAATGTACATTTAATTTTAATTTCTTGAGATAGAATTCAAAGACAGCTTTTAAAGGACAAAGCAATATGCTATAAAATTTACATATATATATATATATATATATCACATATCTATATATATAATCTATATTATAAACGAAATACTAATTTTTTAAACTTACATCTGTACTTTGTTTCTTTTATAAATACAAATTTTGTTTAATTATTTTATTATATAAAAAGCAGAATGAGAATGGATAAATTGTATGTCATGATATCCTTTATTTGAATAAATTACATAAATTAAAGTGAATTAAAATTTTAGATATTTATTAATATACACATGAACATAGTAATCTTATAATGCATTAGATTTAATTCTTGTTAATATCTAATATTTATAGAGAAGAGAAAAACTTGTTATTAAAGAAAGTTAAAAATAAGTTTAATTGTGAAGTTATTAATAATGTAATAATACAATATATTATAATGTCAAAAATATGCATAAAACAGAAAATGTGAAGAATTTTTATATTAATAGATTATTATTCTATTTATTTGGGAAATTATTGGTTTTTTACAATTTCCAAATTATACCATCTTAATAAGAAATTCATAACAGTCACTGTTTTTTTTGTATTTAGTATTTTCTAGAAAGTCTTATATAGTATTTTCTAGTAAGTCTTAAATAGCTTACATAATTTTAATTAATTAATTTAATAACAGCAAAATGCTTTGTTAAGGATTGTTAAGATTTTTTTCTGAATCTGAATCTTTTTCATTTATCTTTTCATTTATCGTGTACAGATAATATTCTTATAAATAAAATATTATATGTAAATAAACATTGTGTGATTGCATTTACAAAAATATTAAAAATTTACTTTTTAGTTGAATATATGAATATTTAAAAAAGATTTTGCCTAAGTAACTTTATAATAGCATTTAATTATTGTCCAAAAATTTTAATTTGACATTATTATAATTTTATCGTCATATGTAATTATGCATGTATAATTTTAATTTATACACTTTTTGCAACTGATTTATAATAAAATTAGATTATTAATTGTAAATAAAAGTTATAACATGATCGTTATATCATAATATAAGTATTTTAATCTCTAAAAGAGAGAGAGAGAGAGAGAGAGAGAGAGAGAGAGAGAGAGAGTTCCACTTTGAAATAATTTATATGCATAGGAACGCGAAGCTCACTAACAAGAGGAAACTTCTTGGGCATGCTATATCACGTTTATACAATCAGTCTTCTTACCAAGTACGATCCACATAACGATAATATTGCCACCAGTTGCAATGAGCAGTATCACCGCAAATATCAAAGACCAGAAGAGCTTTTGCCACCATGGCAAATCGAATGGACGTTCTTGATTAACGAGAACGCAGTCATAAAGCGCCTGCCGTAGAATTTCACGTCTAGTTGACTTGTTTAATGTGTCTTCAATAAAATAACGTATCTCACTAAGATTTAGGTTTAATAGCAATGTAACATTGCACTCCAGAATCGATGCAGTGCAGTTATATAAATGTTCTAGATTTAGACCATTCATATTTGTAAGAATTGTCTTTAGCAGTCGTAGGAATAGTCCCGGGACTTTGTTCGATCGTTGTATCTCTGTTGATTTCTGTTTGTTTGTTCCAAACAATACGTTAAATCTATTTTATAACCTATTATCAATTTCCTTCGATATGATGCACAATAAACTGGCGAATAACTACCGTTATGGTTAATTTAACCTGATTGCTTATTTTTATTGGAAAAGTATATGTGTAATTGATACGAACTTGATTGTGAAAATTTTACACACTTTATTGTTTAATCAATGCATTTGATATTAATAATTAATTTTTCAATACAAAATTTGATAAACGCATTTCATTCTTTTATTTTTAATTTTTTACTTTCAAATCTTTTATTAAACTCATTATCTGTCGATTTAAGATTGTCTTTGAAATCGGAATAATTATCGCGAAATGATTATATTTCACAAGAGATAACTTTACCATGGAAATTCGCAGATATTTAACTATTCACTTGAAAATCTATATTTAATCTAGAGAAATCTCTACTTTATCTTTATGTAGATATTGCAAATTAGTTCAATCTTCTTGGAATCTTTATATATTTCAATATTTAATGTTTTTTAAATTCTTTTTCAACTTCGTCTCACTAATTGTAGATATAGCATTTTTTAAATAATATCTCGTTTTTCTTTTAATGTATTATATTAATTTTTATCGTGTTTTTAAATGAATAAAGCAGCACTTAAACTTTTAAACACTTTCTACACGCGCATATTAAATGATTGCAAATAAGAGCTTCCCTGTGAGACTCTTTTCCATTACTAAAATGCACTTTGCACTTATCGTACACGTTAAAAGCATAATTTGTAATCAGTACATTTCCCTTTTATAATCAGTTAATAGAAAGCGCAAACCATTAAAGACGCGATGGTTTCAAAGTCATTATCACTGACAATACAAACAACGTTCATCACGTTACGTCCGAGAACTTGACAATATATATCTGCATGTTCGTCGAATCTTGATTGTCTCCTGTCAATCGGTACCTATTTATTTGCGCGCGACTTGTCCATCGATTCAATTGTCAACATTATTGTCGCAGGATTATCGGAGACAGTTATGTGCACCCTTGTCACGTAAATGACTAGATTTATAGATGTCCGTTCAATTTACATCGTTCGCCAGTGGATCAAATCGGTGTACCGCACTGAAGAACCCCGTCGGCGATACTGAAAGGCTCAAAAGCGCGTTCATTCAGTGGTGCGTGCGCATCATGAACAATCTCGCACCCCTTTCCTTCGTCACCCACCTCCCGAGACTTTCCACTTGGCACAAGTGTCAGCTGATGGGAAAATACGTGAATGTCTATATCGATTCGAGCTAAATACTAACGCATTTATGATTTATGATAGTTATTCTTCAAGATAAAAGTTAAGAGACTCTCTCATCACATATACTGGAACGCGTTTGAGATTCAACAGCTGTTTTACATTACGTGTAGGAATGAGAGCACTCGAGATCTAGTATTTTTCAAGATTTAAAATTCTGATCCCAACATGTCAAATTCACGATATGCTACAGCATCACGTTTTATATCGATTTTAAATTACTTTTTAGTTTTATGCGATTTTATAAGAAGATGCTTCATATTTTAAAAAAGTATTAGCTTAGTTTAAACACATAGCGGAATAACAATGGCTCTGAAAAGCTTTTTTATTTTACACAATTACATATCTTATAAAATTATTTACAATTATACATGCTAAATTACAATACATAGTTTGTTCAATTATTTTTAATTTAATAAAATCCATTACTTATTATGCATTAATTTATATTATATTATATCGAGCTCTTAGTAATGCTATCTTTTCTCAACATACAAAAGTTGGATTAATTATAGATAAACTTAAATATTATAGAATCTTACGTTAATAAAGATATTACACGTAAAATTTATCCGTCTTTAACATGAAAATTTGCATTAGCAAATATGCATCGACAAACATACTAAACATTGTAATTCAAAGAGTTATTCGTATAAATACGTGAATATTTGTTTTGCCAGCAGAACTTCTCGTTTTGTGTATTTAAATACAAATAGAATATATATAAAATAATTGTAAATAAATTTTCTATTCAAGAAATTTATAAAACGTTTTAATGAATAACGGAAAGGAATGTCTTATACACAAAAAGCAATTATTTTGCGATAAATTATCTTTGTAGAAATTTTTAAAAATAATTCTTTTTTAATTATTTTTTGCGATCTATAACACTACAAAATTTTCATAATCTTTTCATAGAACTATATCGTGACTTTGATAAAGCTTTATCTATTTATTGCATTTGTTTGACGTTCGGACCTGCCTTCGCGTTAACTTTATCATGGATAAATGTCATTTTCCTTTCGTGCAAATGAGAACGATAGTAATCGTGACCATATTTCTTCAAAAGTGATTGAGTTATATATATATATATATCTATGCTTGTTATAATATAAAAAACTTGATTCTTTGATATATATGAAAAACGAAGTTTGTCACGTCAACTCTGTGATCATTTCCGAATATAATTTAATATATATTATAGTAAAAGGTTCTCGCGAAGCAAAAAAAAAGATTTCTATCGCGTGAGAAAGTCATAGGTAAGTATAATAGCGCACTATTACAGATATACTATTATTATAATAAATAGTTTTGAGAATTTATATCTACAGTTTTGCAGTAAATTGTGCCAGTAAATTGTCAGAATTATTTATTTGTAGTAATAAATGTCGCATTAGCCTTTTATTAATTTTATATTTATAAACGTAGCATCTCTCAAGTTTCCATTTTACATTTTAATTTATAATTTATAATTTTCAATATTATTGTTATGCATTATTCTGCATTCGTTTCTTTAATTATGATAAAGCAAAATATCTTTTATAAGATAAAGAGATATAAATCTTATTAGTTTCTTAATTATTGGTTAAAAAAGAAAGGAAACTTATTTTATAAAAGACGCAATATAAATCGCAGGGATATCAAAAATAGTATTGTGTAATTTTAAACCCAACTTGTTACGCCTGTATAAAGTTTGCAGTTTTAGATGAGCAAAGAAGAAGAAGGATATCTTTCTTAACTGTATATTCGTATCCGAGTCTTCTAACTTAAGTGAAAGTGGAAAAGTATTCTCTTCGCGTCCGGTTGACTTCCACATTGAGACATTTTACAGATGAGAAAGATCTTGGGAAAACTTTTTATGTATATCTCAAAAAAGCAACTCTGATGGCATTATATATGCCAAGTACTTATTCAAATTTGAAAAAGTTCTGAATATCTTAAATATGTAACGACGAAAAGATACGCAATTTACTAATCTTTTCAGTTGATATTCTGAGAACTAAATGAAATCAAGTATCCTCTATACTTCTATAGCTTAAAAGAGATAATGTTGATAGGAATTGATTGATTGGAACGATTAAATTTATGCAATAAAGTTTTAATCGCCTTTCAAAAAATTTTATTAAGAGAACTTTTTCAAGCATAATTAATAATAAATCAATTAATTTTTTAAAGTAATTCCAATCATATAAAAATTGTATCTAAAATATAAACATCAATTCATTCTTTTTAACGCGTAAACTGTTACTTACAATATAAAATTGAATAAATGCAACATAATATTTATCTAAATATATTTTTGACATCTTTTCATACATATGTGTATATTCAGCGTTACGAATTTGCAAACATATATTTACTGTGCAATAACAAGACAATATGTAAAAAAAACTATTTTTCTCATGTAATATGTAACGTATATAAAGGCACAATAGTTTCTTAAAAAGCTTGTTAGTAAAAGTTAATAAGCATGACTTAAATTTTATTAAATGAAAACGGACATAAGACTTGAATTAGAAAATAATTTGGTGACTGAAATATGTAAATAATTTATTTAATAGAGAATTAATGTTAATTTATGAGTGTATTTACATCTGTAAGTAAAACATGAATTTGAAATTATAAATAAAGCATTTTAAATATAAAAAAGTAATCTTTTCTATTTAGTAATCCTACAAAAATTACTATTTAAATATTAGAATTATTTTCAATTAATTGAATATAAAAAAATATGAAAATATTTTGACGTGTTATTACGCTCAGTAATTAATTAAATTGTAATACTAAATATTTATAAATTATTTTTATTTTAAAATATGATCTTTGTATTTTTATATATAAAATGTAGATAGACTAATGTTATGAGATTATAGTACTCCAACAAATCTCATTATTTACAAAAAATTTCTCTCAAAAATTATTTCTTGGAAATTTTTACAAAAGGAAAGATTATTTTAGTCTAATGCAATCATATATTTTTCACGATATTTCATGTTAAACAAATAAAGTGACAGAATTTAATAACTTGTTAATTATAAAGACTTGTTAATTATATACTTTTTAAAAAATATCTTGTTATTTTCATGTTTACTTTTTTTTTCACCATGTGTATCTTTTCGTCAAGCGTCAAATACATAGACTTAAATAGAAACTTGAAAAGTATCTGATACGTATAGGTACATACACATATCTCAGGAGTTAGAAAGCACTCACACATAATGTATATGTATATATATATAACATATATATTATTTGTCAAAAGAAGATCCTGGGAGACTAAGCAGATATTTGTTGGAAGGATGGATTGGAAGGATGGAATAAAATATTGGTTTTTCTCACTCGACGTTGAATATATAACGCTCGAAGTATTTCGCATGGAGTATATAACGCACTATTTGACATACAAAGTAACAGATATGTTCTATGAACGAAAGGGATTTTTAGAATGAAAGTATGAAAAAAGTATATAGAAACAAATATAAATTTCGAATGATTGATGTAGGCATAATTTAAAATAAAAACAATTTGTTAACAACAATTTTAACTAAAAAATATCTTGGCATTTAGTTTGCTTTTTTAAATAAACATAATTAAAAAATTCTTATTTAAGTAAATTATAAATTTTTAACTTATATATTTTTATATATATAATCACTATTTATAGAAATAGATTTAATTTAATTTATTCTTAGGTTTTGCTATACCAAGAAATAGGATTTTTTTTTAATACATTACATACGAACTATTTTAGCTAAATGAATTATCTATGGAAATATGTTCTTAACGTGTACTTAAGAAAAAAGAAGGAAAAACAAGAGTTCAAGCTCAGATTAAATGCAAAAGTAATCCAA